CATTGTGAATGGCATCATTTTAATACCAATAACAGAATAGAAACAGCACAGTAATGACGTTTTGCTTTGCACTCATGTCACACCCCTGCTATTTGAGGAAATGGCATACAGGAGTTCCCATGTCATCTGCAGACCCTCCAAGAACTTACCACACAGAGTTGGATGCAGATGCTTGGAATCTAACTTCTATACTAAAGCTAACACATTTCACAAACAGCAGGGTCCTCCTCAACTGCTAACAGTTTTTGCCCACTTCTGACATGGGCTGAGTAGTCCCTGCAAACACCCTGGCAAACCAAACAAAAAAAAAGCGTTATCACCCATCGTCTGTTCTCAGAGTTCTTCAAAACTCGCATTTTGAAGAGTGCATAACACAGCCTGGAAACTGTTTTAGCACCCAAAAATCGAAAGGCAAAGAAGAAAACATACGGGTACTCTCTCAACTTAATTTAGAAAGAGAAGTGTCATTCATAGCTAAGTAGTGGTTACCATACAGTGTTAGCAATCACTGGATGAGGCATCTGACAAATAACCCTTACCATCACTGGACGCTAAATACACTTCATGGTCCCCACAATACCTGTGAGAAGTAAAGCTGTAAGAATTTGCTAGAAATCAGCTGAAGGCACCCAAGACTTCGTCTGCTATTACACTGAGCAGTAACTGCAATTCATTTAGATATACCAAAAATAGCTTTAAACTAGCTAGCTTAGGTACTGCTATCAGTGCAGTTTAAACTTAACGATAAATATTTCCTGAACACATGCATGCAGTCAGTGTACTTGCGTCACTGTGGAAGAATACAGCAAGCCAGACAGCAGTTCTGCCTCCAAGGACAACTGGCATAGGGTTGATGTAACTGAGAACTCTGCCCTCTGTCCTCCTGAATTTATATTTGGACTGTTAACTTAAGTGAAAATTCACTAGTTTTGCAGAGGTTCAATATACATACAACAACATACGTAAGTGTGAAATCTCTTTGTAGCCCAGCAAATTCCAGCTCAATTTTTCTGTTGAATACCATTTTAATAAATTGGTGCAGGACTGGGAAAAATCCTTTTCCTCCATAGCTATAGACACATGGTTAAAGGGGAAGAAAGGAGAGGATCTGTATTCTATAAGCAAGTAATACTTTATGTACATGCTGAACAGAAAACTACAGAACATAGGTCTGTGTAATCAGCAGTCTCATAAAACACATGTGATTAAGTAATGGCCTCAAACTGTCCCTTGCCTTAAATCTATTGATGCCGTATGTGCTAGAATATACAAGGAATTATATTCTGGCCTCACTGAAGTCAGTGGCAAGACTCCCTCTGAGTCTCAACCGGGAAAGACTTATCTCAGCACTAGGATATTTAAGAGCAACATCATCTTCTGACTGCAAATATTACTTTTTCCTCAATCTACACACAGTAATTATGGTTTTAGCCTCTCCAACAAAAACAGCACACTCCTTGGTTGCAGCCATCTCTGCCACAATTGAATGAGACCATGGTACTAACTGCACAACACTTCAGGCTCTGCTGACTCAAGGGCTGAACAGAGCCTGCACTCCCAACACTAATTCGTCACTTAGCCTCTATCCTGTTAAGTTGAATTCAGGTCAAGGTGACATAAACTAAGCATGGATTAAACTATAGGTATGAATAGTAGCATGTATGTACAATAGCAATACCCCTCTCTAAAGATATGTTGCTGGGTTATAGGGCTTGAGGATTTATCTAATCTAGCAACTATTTTCAGCTTTCTTCAACTGAGGCAGCAAGGAAGTCTAAGTGAGCTTTCAAACCCATCAAGACATTTATTGACCACACTTGCATAACATCTATTTTCATCCAAAGAGCATACCTGCAAAACTCATCTGATATATTCACAGAGTGCTATTTTGACTTTACTTATCTTCATATGCGGCCTTCTTTGCATGAGGGTGAACCTTGCTGCTTTGTGAAATGCTGATCCATCCAGAACTAACATAAGAAGGCATTCAAATAGACATAAATAATCTCTGGTACTGTGAACCAAAAACACTGAAGCTGTCTATATGGATTCTCTTTACTTTTAGCTGAGCCTCACAGTGCATTTGAATATTTTAAAGAGACTTTACACTTTTGTAGAATAAACTACTACCATACGCAGCTGCATGGATTTCTGTTCTTAAGAGAAACCTGGGTTCTGAGAGATGTCTTAAAAAGGGGAATTTGTCACTGCCCAAACTCAACATATTATAAAGATATTATTCCTGCTTCCTTTAGGTACTATCCTAATTTAGCAATTAAATTGATTGACATACATAAACAAAGAGAAAACAAACAAACCTCAATATGTGTTTCCCCTCTCCCCAGCAAGGCAGTTTCCTTTCATATTTATTTTCTTTCATTTTTTCCCCCATTTGTCTTGTAATATTTATAATCTTCATTTTCTAGCTGTTTCCCACTTCTTGCTGTCTAGCCTCATCTTGTTTGACCCTCTTTTCCCTCTGCTGTGTTCATAAACCCCATGCATCTGTTTGTTATTCCTCCTTCCCTTAGCCATCTCCTCCTTGTGCCCTTGGACTCCATCTTGGCTCTTGCTTTTTGTCTCTTTTGCCTTGTTGCATTCTAAAAGATTCCCAAGTCGAGCCCTATCTGAGTCACTACAGCAGCCTTAGTTTTAAAGCAATCAGAGGTACAAGCCTCTCAGTGTTGCCTCTTGCACTGCCATGAGACATGGGGAAAAAAGCCACTATGATGGGAAAGAGCACTGTTTCTACCCATGCCACAAGAATGCTAGCTAATAGGTGATTAACTGAAGTAGCCTATCTCAGTTAACCTCAGAGGAAAACAAATTCCCTTTTCCGACAAAGGTGAAAAATACGGAGGCAAAAACGAAGCGACATGATTTCCACCATCTGAAGTCCTCCTCTTAGAACACAGTTCCACCATGGAAACGCCTACATAAAAACTGCACTACTATTCAACAAATGAGCTGGCAATAGAAGCCTAATCCTGTTGGCTGACTTTAGTAACTTAAATTTTTTTTAGAGCTTAAAAGTTTTACCTCCTCTATGACCCATGCAGAGGTCACAGAGTAACCTATATTCCTGACTTCATGTTCACCACGCAAATTAATTGTCTGCTATAGGTTATAGCTGTATAACCCTAATGTAGACAGGGACAGACAGTACCAAAGAAAGAATCTGGGCCATCCTACCATTCCTGTTAATGAAGCTGTACAAGCAGGGAAGACTTCTGTTTAACTTTAGTTAACAGGTAGCGTTGGCAGAACTGATAGTGAAAAAGTTAATTTAAAAATGAACATATCTGATATGAAAAGCCAAAGTGATAGACATACAACCTCATGATTGACATATATATATTTTTTAAGAATTACACCGTAAAGGCGTGTTGAACTACCATGATTTGCATCAAAATCTGTTTTGCATCAAAAATCTGTTTAAAAAAACAAATCTTAGTTCATTTTGTAAGGTAAACTTTTAGCTTGTTTTAATGCTATTTATTTCAGTATAGCCCATTTGTATAGACTGAATACTGTTATCATTAAAATCTATACAACATATGAGTAAAACACTATAGCATCATTATCTGTACACAGACAGTCTATGAGTGAAATAAGTACTTCATTAGTGTAAATGAAATACTATACTCCTGTCATTGTAGTTATGGAAGTGACTAACGTGCTTTACCTACCTTCTTAGCTAAGCTTACAACCACCTCTAGTGGAGTTAACTGTAATTGTAATTCTTTGTCCAGATCTGTATAAAACAACTGGCAATATTTAACATGTGGCTATTTTCTCTTTTTCCTTAAGGGGTTCATCAGTAATATGTACATTCTAATATAATAGTTGAAGCCAGTTTTAACCTTACTAAAGGATTGTTAGTCTTATTAAAGGAGCATCAGTACTGGTTGGGATGATCAATTACCTTCTTTAGTCAAAGACACTTTAGGATATATTGAAGAACTTACCAGAAGATCTGGTTACATTTCAACTGCTCTCACTAGTTGGTATCAGTTAGAAAATATGATAATTGTCAGGAATATCATGAATATATTTTTGTTTTAAGTAGCTACATAAAATATTTTCTTGGTATTAATAACTCGACTATCATTACTTACCACTATTGAATACAAAATATAATGCATACATTTTTTTCTTTGTTGTTAAAAGCCTTAGATCTAGATATTTTCAGAAATTACTGTAAATTGTACAAATGTCCTTCAATCTCTATCAGCATTGCACGTTATTATTTGCCCCTCTTCTCCAGAAGCAAAACTGCAACGATTGTTAAAGGACCTTGTGAAGTTCGGGACAGAAGCTTAAACTTGCTATGCAGTGACATGCGAGACGCATTTACAATGCATTACATTCAACAGAGTGCTGGTGTTCTCATATTGGGGAATGCCACAGAAACAGATGGGGGCGATGCAATTGCTTTTTTAAGGCATTCATTCTTCCTCAAACTATCACTTGCAAATTAACCAACAAAAGGGGACCAAAGCTACCTTCACCGCAATTCATAACCAAAGACGTAAATTAGGACAAAAACGCAAGAACCCTCGACTCCCGTATCTTCTAGTCTTTCCCCTGCCATAGTAACCTTCTTTAAAAGACGTCTGCGGACGGGTAGTAACTCGGACCATGACACTGCAGGCGTAAGCGGGGATTCGCCGTGACCGCCGTGGTGTCCTGCAAAGAACACCGCGAAGACCACCCAAAGACGAACAGGTGGAAGCGATGAGACACCAGCCATGCGGGAACGACAAGGCCACAGGACCCCTCACAGCGACAAACCCCACCGCGCAACCCGCC